CATATGTTGTCTGGGTTTTGGCAAGGGCAAGCGGCACTTAGGTCATTCACTTAAAACTGCTTGCCTTTAGTGTGTAAAAGTCACAGCTCTATATCATGAGACCCTCTAACATAAAATGCTCCCCGCCCCCCCTTATTTTTAGCCTTAGCATTTGTTACCTGCTTGCTTAATTGTCCTGTCAGGGTGAGCGGGTATGAATTTCTTATTGTCCATCTGTGGCCCCTGCATGATTTCCTGTAGCTATCAGGCCTTGGGTGTGTAGGTGACAGAGCACTCAGCTGTGCAGCCCCTGTTGGGGACCCTCACAGTTAGAAAAGCTCACAGAACTGATACGGATAGGAGGAAAAGGACTAATGGGCTCCTTTGTGGTGGTGTTCCAAATGCATCATCCACCTCTTTTCTGTAGGCTTCAACCAAACAAATCAAAGCTGTTTAACAGCCCATGTACCAGAATTTCCTGTCCCTACAGAAAGAGAGCATCAGCCAGGAGGAATCTGGCATCTGCAAGATATTTTCACAGTATCTATCAGTGATGAAAATGGGCAGACCGGTAGGACTGGAGAGGCAAAGTCCTCTATCGTAAATTTACTCTCTTACCACTATTATCTTTTCTGTAATCTAAACCCACAATTCCTAAGGCCAAGTTAATTCAGATCTCAAAAACCTTGCACTGAGACACCATGGAGAATGGCTGGATGTAGTGATAAGAAACTCTGACTTCAGGCATTTGGCTGAGACCCTCCTTATTCCTTTCCCATTGACTCTAGACAGCCTCCTAGGACTGTTGCTTTCAGTTGCTGTTTACCTGGGGCTGCCCTAGGACGGGGTATGTGAGAGGAAGACTCAGTTCTTCCTGCCCAAGCCCCAAGTTTTGAATGAATAGACTGAGAAAACCAGTAAGTTGGCACTAGTTTGAAATACTTCTTCCCCGCCCCCCAAGCTCCAAAGACTGGGAAAGGGTGACATCCAAGGCAGTCACAGGGGAAGAAGCACACTCTAGAAGGTAGATTTAGTCACCTTCACTCCAAGGTTCCTGAACCTCCCAAGTTCACCATGCCTGGGGTCTTCGGTCCTTTTCCAGAAGTTGTGAATAAGCAGGTTTGTCAGTAGGCACAATCTGACTGTAAGCTGTGGGAGGCTGCACTTACACCATACCCACCAGGCATGAGTCCTCCGGGCCATCTGCAGTCTATGCTGCCCTCACTGGAGCACACTGTGTGAAATACCTTTCTCAGGCTGCAGGACTTGGTTACAAAATTTGCTCTGAGAATTTGCCCAGAACCAAAGACAAGATTTGCCAAATAGGAAGTAGCGTTTATTTGCTTTGGGTAACTCCAACCCCACTTTCAGAGGAGCAGCAGAAAAATCCATTATAAGGCGCACTCAGCTCCTCTAGCCAAACCTCAGGAGCTTGCCCTAGTAGGAACAGCTGTAAGAAAAAGGGAAGAGCATAAGCTGTTGATTCAGCTAATTTCATGGTAAAAAACTGTCCTTGTGCTGTTGTCTGATGTGTACTTTTGCCACCCATAGCCGGACAGAGCTACAACTTCAAGCCCTGATCTAAAATACTGGTGGACTGGTCTAACAACAGTGAGCCAGAAAAGGTAGGAGAGGATTGAATCACATGGAGAATAAGGCTGGCTTAAAGCAGACACGGTAGATAGAAAGCATCTGCATTTCCTTCCTGGTGACGGGGGAAGAGAACACCGCTCAGGCTCTGTAACACTCTTTTTCTGTTTCAGCCCGTAACACAAAGATTACTATCCTTTTGTTTAGTCTTTTAGTAACAATATTTCTGCCCCTTTTAAGACCTCCCTCCCTTGCAAACTCTGCATAGGCTGAGAGAATAAAGCTGAACACTAGGTCAGTTCTGAGTTTGGTTTTTTCCCATAGCATGCCTAGCTCTCATCCTATAATGCTCAGCCCTGGAGGTTTCTGTAACTCCCTCCAGGCTAACTACATCAGTAAGCTGAGAAACATGAACTTCTCAGGACAGGTCTTGGCTAGCTACCTGCAATGATATAGTTATCTTCTAATAGCTCTTATCTCTCTGAATTGCATCTTCCCAAATAGCCCCCAAGGAGTGACGGGGAAGATGTCAATCAGCATTAGAGTGATGCAGATCTGGCTTTTGGTGTAGGAACTTTAGGCTTTCTGTGGTATTTCTCGGAACTTACTTCTCAATGGTGTCTTGAGGAACACATTAAGAGGTGAAGTGATCCTGCTCTAAAAGAAGTCAATTTTAGTAGTGCTGGATCAGCTTAGCAGAAAAAAAAAAAAGGAACTCCTTTGTCTCAGCCTCATATACTTGTTGTATATATGCTCATTAACATAGAGTAATAAACCATGCACAGGAAATTTACTGTAAATGTTCATTTACTGTAAGTCATTTTCCTAGTGACTTAAAAGTATAAAGTGTAATCAGTGAAGGGTCAGGGTAACATGACTCATCAGTGATGCCGATTCCTCCTCTCCAATGGGCTCAGCTGCTGAACTGGCGAAGAAGCAGGGATAGACATGGGAGGTTTAGTTACCTGTCACATTGTTAATGCCAAGTCCTCACTGGAAATGTTTTCTTGTTTTAAGACTTCCTGGCAATGCTCCCACACCTTCTCAAAATGCAGGCTCTACTGGCACTAAACCTGCAGCCTCCATTTTTAACACACCTATGTCATGCAAGTTTGAAGGTGGTGCAGAAGATGACATGGATAGTGAGAAACCCAGCCTCAGTTCCTCTGCTAAGGAGGCATAAATGTCTCTTCTTACATGGAAAAAACCTATGCAAATAAACACTCTGTGCAAGCTCCCTGGCTGTGTGTGGAGATTCTGCCATGCCCTAGCAATGATTTCTGCAAAAGCTTTGGTTAACAGGACAGCTGGACTATGCTAAAGATGGAGTGACATCTGTGAGCTTTCTTCACTACCAAACAGCAGATACCTAATTCACTGGAAGGTGGGATCTCCATTAAATGAGAGCAGAATGCAGGTAGGGGTCTTGAACTTACCTCACTTGGCGTCTAAGTGAAGCCATCTCTCCTCTGACCCATAATAGCCAAATCTTGAAACACATTAAGTACCTTAATTCCCTCTACCTTCTGCAGAAATTCGGTGCCTAAGTATCCCTTGGATTCTGTGCTTTACTTGCTCCTGCCTAGCATGGGTTTGAATCAACAACAAAGCAAAAAAGAACTTTGCATCATGTGGTTGGTTGTCCTTGCCTTGCTACTTGACCTTTTAGCAGATGACTCTGGCATCCTTGCTTCCAACTGCTTGTTACAGTTCTTGTCAAAATATTAATAAAGAACACGTTATGTGGAGAGTGAGGCTGGGGCATTTGGAAGACCACAGCAATTAATCATCTCCCTCATAGCCAGAAAGGGAGCGGTACATTCATGCAGAAAGTCGGGTCAAAAATTTAGTGTTTTAGTCTGGGCAAGATTCTGTCTTTTACTCCATAAATCATTTAATATGTCTTACATGACTACCCTAAGGATCAACAAAAAATGGTTACCCAGTAGTGATGGATCTCCTGTTAGGAGCGTGGAAAATTACATCTATTAATAGCTTGAGATCACCTCCTGAAGGAGACCTATTGTACAGATTTAATTGTATTTCTCTCTTAATTCATCAGCTGTTAGTAATTACCTCCTGCATTCTTGCAATGGAAAAAATGAATCCAAACTGGCTGTTGAGACTTAAATAAATCATAGGAGAGGAAATTAGAATGCAAATAGTTATCAGTCTTATAAACAATTTTAATTCACCACTTAGCTATTAATTAGTTAAATAACATCTTCAAAAACTGCATTCTGGAAAATGTAGCAGCCACACTGAAAGCAGTGCTGGTCAGATTAGCTTAAAGTTACTCCTCTGGCATCTCAACAATATATAATTTTTAAAGGGTTCAGAGAGTAAGCAGTTTAGCTTGTCAACTGACAGTTGAGAGAAATGCTGACTTCCCCTCCTTGCTAGAAGACATCAGCCTTATAGTCTGTGCTTTCAAATAATCTCTTACAAGAGCAGTATTCTTGTTCAGCTTCTATTTTGAACCTTTTTTGTTTTTTTAAATGACAACTGCAGTTCCTCTTGCCTCCTTTTCCTCTTTGCACAGTCCACAGTTGACCGCTAGTGGTATTAGATACTGCAGCAGATACTGTGGTTTTCCACATCGCCCTCCTGTGCTATACCCTCAAGTTACTCGGTCAAAATCCCTGTCCCTCATTCTTTTCTGGGGACAATTATAAGAAAGGTACTTTGTTCTCAGATATGGTAGTCTGATTATCCTGTCACAGTGAATGAAAAGGAAAGGCACTGTTTACAATGGCAAGGTAAGGCAGAAAAGTACTTTTTTCATCATCATCCTGTTTCCTGGTAAGTGGAGGTGGCTTCAATGGAGAAAACTGGTCAGGTTGACATGTGCGAGGCTTGCTGCCCTCTCCTGGTGTCATCAGGAGCCATACATTGGATCTCACAGCTGCCTCCGAGATTGAGGTTTTCACCTTTTGAGATGATGAGTCCTGCAGGAGTGGAGGGAAGAAGCTGCTTTACAGATGGATTTGATTATTTTAAACAGCAGTGTTTTGATTAGGATTAGCTGCATCAATTCAGCCAGGCACAGCTTTCGAATTGTCAGTTGCAAAGGCAACAGTGCTGATCAGGTTCTCTGAATCTGCAGATGATCCCCTGTAGTTTCCCGATTGTGACAAATGGATTGGAATGCAACACTGCTGAGTCTTCTGGCTACCCTTGCCCGATTTTCTGGGAGCATTCACACTTAGTATGCTTTTTGTTTATGATCATGGCAAACAGTATCATGGCCCATCAGAGCATACCAGTTACAGATGAAAATTTACAGCCATGTTTTTGGTGCACATGGTGGGAACATATTTTTAGTCAGCACACCTCGGTCTCAGCATTTGATGGGAACCCATCTTCTTACCCTGTAAGGTGACTGACCAGGGAAGGTACTCACCGTGTAGAAATAATTTTGCTACTGAAGCTCAGCTTGTTGGGTCATGTGCAACAATCAAAGGCAGCAGCTCTCCACAGCGGGAATTCAGTTTTAAGGATGCAAAGTGATCTAACCTTGTGGGCCCAATGTTAAGGATCGCAATTGGCAGCTGCTTCTCCCGGGCAGCAAGAGCAAACCTGTAACCAGAGTATACCTGCAGGAATACCAGAGACAAAATTACTGGCAGCTTAGGCAAAAGAAGAGCTACAGAAAGGAGTAAGGAAAGTAAAATAGTTGCTGTTGGCAGTGGGAAAGGGGGCTGTATATACATGCTGTGTCAGGCAACTACACTTAATTCAGATAGGAAATTTCTTCATTCAGGAGTGCACAGAAAAGAACAGCTTTTAACCTCTGTCAGTGAGGGATTTGCAATTTCATAGAATCTAAAACTTCATAGTACATTGAAGGAAAATGTCCTTGTCTTTCAGCAAATCTCTGCAGCAGTTTTTATTAGTTATCATAGGTACTTAAATGCTTCTACTTTGATGGTTCTCACATGGCCCAGCTTAGGTAGTACAAGAATGAACCTGAAGCATTTCAATCATTCCTGTACAAAGGATTATAAGCTTAAGAAGTGCAAGCTCAAGGAATTTGTCTCCAGTATCCTGAAGCCAAGAGAATCACAATCAGGCAGCCTTGGTTTTATCTTGTTCTGGGAGGCGTTAGGTTTTTTTAATGTAATAGAACTTGTTCCTGGAAAAATGTCTCTTATACAAACTCTATTCCAAAAGCTTCCACGGGTTAAACAAGGGGGTTTCTAAACTACCTTACATTATAGATAAGAGGCTAATGGAGAAAACACATTGTGATACAAAGGACAATCCTAAGCAGCAACCAGAGATATGTCTGCTCTCTTCTTCAGAAATTAATTAGGAATTAGAGGACCTAAAATCTGGTATTTCACAGTGTGCCATGAGGCCTAGAAAGCTGCCAAAGGCTAAAAAATTCAAGCAAAAAAATGTGCGGTGGTGATCTGTGCAGGACTGAAATGTATCAGGTGTCTTGGCTTTACCGGCAACTGTGCACCTACAAGGTTACTGATGGAGGAGGTAGCAGAGAGAGGTCTGAATGTGTGAACAAAGTTGTTTATAACAGTGTGAAGTAGACTGGCAACAGAGTGACAGGGAAGCCTGAACAGGCCAACTGTGAAGCCAGATTCCAACCACGATAAAAATAAAATACAAAGAAGCTCTGGAGAGGCTGTTTTGATCCACAAGCAATTAGTAGTCCTAAACTGTGGGACCAAGGATTGTTGCAGGCAGAGTAGCACAGAAATAGGAATGCAGTGTGGGAGGAAGACCTACTTACCTGCATAGAGGATCCTGCCACCAGCATGGAGTCTGATTCTGCCAGGCGCTGGTGCACAAAATCCACTTTTTCCCGGCTCACTGTGTCTCCAAAGAACGTCACTTCGGGCTTCAGGATTCCACCACATTTACGGCAGGCCGGGACTTGGAAATTATGCACCTGCTCATCCGTCAGGAAGACATCCCCATCTGGAGCCACACCAAATGCTTCAGCTTTCCAGGCAGGATTCAGAGCTTCAAAGTGCTCCTGAAGCTCAGAGCGTAAGATTTGGTCTCCACAGGCCAGGCAGAAAACCCTGAAATTCAAAGCAAAGTCTTAATGGAGAGTTTCATGTCAGCTGAAGATCTGGAGTCTGTAACTTGTTCCTTAGAAGGCCTGGAAGGTCTGTTATCATTATCCACGTTTATTTACCGAATAGTACAGGTCAAGGAGCTGCCTTTCTACCTCCCATTGATGCTTTGTAGGAATGCTCTAGAGGAAGCACTTTGAACCCTACCATGCATCCTCTCTCCCAGTCCACGCTGTGCTTTTTCATCTGGCAACTTTGGGTGATCACAGCAGACTGCGGTGGTCGCTCTCCAGTCCACTCACCCTGTGCATTTCTGGCACTATCCACTCTGCTTAGCCCTGGATAATCCTTCCATCCTCAGGATCTCTTGTCCTCTTCACTAAGAGGACATTTGCTGTAGCAAGGAAAGGGGGAATTCTGACTGACGCAGGCTCCAAGGGAAATGATCCAAATAATGCTCTAAAAAAACAGGAGTGGTGTTCATGTTTCTTATATACTGTGCTGTGAACAGCACTGTTTTGTGACCTTTTTTCCCACCCCAGCCCAACACCACCTTTGAGCATATCATCTCCAGGAACACAGCATGGACATTTTGCCTCCTTTCTCAGCAGCTAACGTGGCACCTGCTTGTCCGTCACCCTGAACAAGAGGCCGGAGGATTAACCATCATCCCTCTGCCAACAGAGTACCTGTGTGTGCAGCCGTGCAATTCTGTCATGCGCTGGCTCCCGGCTTTGGTGTGAAGGGCATCCACATTCTGGGTCACCAGCCAGTGCAGCTTCCCCAGCTTCTCCCACTCGCTTAGTACCAGGTGTGCTGCGTTTGGCTGGTGGGAGGAGAACTGGGGCCAGCCCACAAAGTTCCTTGCCCAGTACCGCTGCCGGGCACTGGCACTACGAACAAACTCAGCGTGCTGGATGGGCCGTCGGTCTGTCCTGGCGTAGAGCCCGACACCTTCAGAGCGGTAATCTGGGATCCCCGATTCAGTCGAGATTCCAGCTCCAGTCATTACAAACAGCCTTTTGGAGTTGGAAACAAAGCGCTGCAGCTCCTCTACTTCCACTGGATCTGGGGGAAGACAGGCTGGCACGAAAGCCAAGTTTGGAGAGGTCCTGGATACAGAATGGGATCTGAAATGATGGGATCTGATGGCTTTGCAAACTCCTGACAACTTCCTGGCAGAGAACATGTTCAGCTAAAAACCAAGAACAGAACACATGGCAGGCAAAAGAAAGCAAAGAGGATGTCCTTAATTCCATTTTCTTGGGATTCTCTGGAAAATTATGCTTTTAAATATTCTTTGCTCTTCTTTTTAGTAAAGAAACAAAATTATTTTGGAAATGTTAATTAAAGCCCACTGTCCAAGGACAGCATTTGTATGTCCCTTTCACAGAGGGCAACACTGAGGACTACTTAAGCTGGAAGTACAAAGTTAGCACCCCTGAGTCACAGGATTCCGGCTCTCCTATTCTGGTGTGAAGGATGGCTGCCCAACAGCACTTCCAAAGAGCCAGAAAGACCTGAGCATGCAGAGTCTTTCCCAGGTGTGTGCAACAGGGCAGAGAAGAAATGGCAGGGAGGCCAAGCACCGCACCCCAGAGGCACTGTCCAGCTGGTGTGTCTGGTTCCTCCCCAGAAGAGACCCTTGCTCTGCCTTCTTTAACATTATGCCTGCTCCAAATCAGTCCTTTCTATTTTCTATTTTGCTGTGTGGTGGGAAGGGAGGGGAAAAACGATGTTGAAATGTTGCTCTTTCAGGGCAAAGGCCTTGACTGGAGTTACTCCTGGTTTTTTTTTATAAAGGCCTGGTGCAGGACAGGCCTTGAAACGGGACTGAAGATGATCAGTACACCGCCTAAATGCCCCCGGCATCTCCTCCTTTGTGGATGCCACCTCCCCACAGCCAGTGGAGAGGTGGAGGGGTACTGCTTTGCTTCTCCAGCAGGAACAGGGGGCTTTGCTAAAAGAGAAGGGATCACCAAAATGGGGGGTGGGGGTGGGACGTGCAGAAACAACTGCCTGGCAGGCAGGAATGGGCGGGATATCCTGCTCTGAGGGAGGAACAGCGTGCTCTGTTGGGGACAGGCAGGATAGCTTTGCTGACAAGTAGCTTGGCATTGCGTGCAGGACCTGTTGGGACAGGAGTGGACTGGTTTGGACCTTGATTTTGTTTGGTCTTTCTAGCAGTCTGTAGTTCTCCTTTCTCCATTTCACTATTTTAAAACTATTTTTTCTGGGCCTCTCTATGGTTTTGTATGCAAAGCACAAAAAGTTTTGAAAGAAACAGAGAATTGCTGAGAATTGACTGTCTGGTATTTCTCCCTTTGCAAGGGGGCTTGTGTGAGATCTGGAAGACGGAGGAAAGACTATCAGTAATTACTGATAAAAGGGGATAATCTCTAAAGAGTGACTGTAACAGGCCCCAGATAGTCCGATGCTTAAAGCTTGCTTGGTAATGTGGGACACCTGGATGCAGATTCACACCCACTCACACTTCTGCCCTCACCACCACAAATTACTGGGAGGACACCTGAGGGACTGGGTCTCACTGGAGTCAGCTGGAGCAGATCCCTCTCAGGTGTTACAGGCAGTGGTTTAAGGGAGGGCTCTGTGCAGCTCGTTAGCTGTCAAATGGTTAAAGCATGTGGGCAGTTTCATAAATGTTTTCATAAAATTTTCATAAACTTGCAGTGCCTGTGAGATCTGTGGCAGCTCTGAGAAAGTCAGAGGTATTCAAGTGGTGAGCTTACTTGTCTAAAAGGCTAGCACCTAAGTACTTTTGATGTCCTGTGCTTCAGTGCCTGGATGGTTTTTAGACTCCTGCTGCATCTAAATTGCTTTGGCTCAAGTCCACAGTCCTCCTCAAGTACCAGTTCTTACGGTAAATGGAGGAATAAATACATTTAAAGTTTGGGTGTTCAGCTGTAAGTATCATGATACTAAATTGGTACTAGTGGCAAAAAGACTTGTCTCAGTTAATCTCCAGTTCTCAAGGCTTTGCGTCATCATCAGCTGAATTACAGGGAAGACTGGACTTCCTCCATAGTCTGAATTCCTTTTTAAATCTAAGCAGTGGATTCTGTTTGCAATGATTTTTGCCTTGTTTTGTTGTTTAGTTGGAGTTGTGTTGGGCATTCCCTCTGAAAAGGTGTACTTTTCCATATTAGTTAGAAGGGACAAAATCTCCCAATAAACTGTAATTTGCTTTGAGAATAATTTCTGTCATGATGCTCCCCAAAGGCTGATAAGCCAGTTTGACAGTATTTAAATTGCTGCAACTGATGCAAATTCTCTATTCCTGTCCCTTATCATCAAAAGATCTCTCAGAAGGGAGTGTTTTGAGGTGGAATGAAATAGAGATATAATATTGGTTGGCTCACAAGAGAGAGAAGGCAACGGGCAGGCGCAGCATTAAAAATACCAGATACATCGGAGAGCTGCTGTGAAGTGTGGAAGTAGGAGAGCGTAGGAGAGAAACTTACAACAAAGGACCGAATATTTCTCTGTGAGATGCAAAGCTGCTTTGAAAATGAAAGTGCTCAGAGTAAAAAAATAACAGCTACTATACATAATAAGTGAAACTCTTTAAACGTACCTATCGAGATCCGACGCTAGAGTTTGTTTTTAACACGCATCCAAGGCGCTCCACAGAGAGAGATCAGGCAAGTAAGGCAGAAGATACACAGGTTTCTACACAGGGTTACAGGCCAGAAATCCAGAGACACCCACGTCATCCGAGTTCTTCTGCTGTAACAATGACGCGGGGAGGGGGGTAACAGCCGAACCGAACGCGTCTAATGAAATAAGAGCGATATGGTGAATAATGCCCGAAAACTTACCTTTCATAACGCTGCCGTGCCCGACCGCGGAAGGAAAGGGCCGGCCGCCGGAGGAGGAGCTTTCTGGGAAATGTAGTTCACAAAGAAACTAAGCCCTAAGCACAAAGACTACAATTCCCATGCTTCAAAGAAGAAGAAAAACCCCGACTTTCTGAAACCTGATGAAGTCAAATTGAAAAGTGAGAGCTTCATAGCTGCCCCCAAGGAAATGTACAAGAATAAAATCAGATTTGATTTGATACAAATGCAAGTAATAGCGTTGATAAAATGCAGTACAGATGCTTGTCCTTATAAAAGCATGCAGTTTCTTTTCACTGGTACTAACAGATTTTAGGCTTAAAATGTAACTAAACAAATAATGGAAGAAAAATCCACTGAGGGCTGTTCAAGACATCTCTTATAGATCAGGAATTCCCTGAGACATAAATTGTTGGAGGCTACGAGAGTACGCCGGGCTGATACGTTCACCTTGTTCTGGCACTCTTCCTTTGGTACCTACGTTTGGCCCCAGGAGAGATGGACCTGCCTGGCAGTCCTGATGTGCATAGTTAAGCACGTTTGGGATGACAGTGTTGTCCTAAATAGGGCTCGTTTACCTGGTGTGCAATAATCTTCACACACTGAGACGAGATACTGTTTTATTTCCTTTCTGCGCAGAGGTGGGTGCTAGGTGGTAATTCCACAAAGCTAGCACACCGAATCATCAAGTCAGCCTCTATTTATACACATTCATTACCATATTTAATTCCCTAATACATATGAAGTGCTATGATCGGTTAAAACTTTTTTTGCCTACTATTTAAATTAATGAGCATGCTCAGTTGTCCTTCAATTTGAGTCTGGGGTGTGATTGTGGTAGGGGGCTCATGAGTCGGCGGTCACGATCTCCCCCTGCCAGCATTACCTTTCCCCTAACTTCTTTCTGGGTGGATCTTAAGTCTTCTCACGGCTTACCGATCAAGTCAGTAATGCATCACCTAGACTTCTGCTCCCGGACAATCTGTTAACTTAAACAAAAGCATATTGTATAAAAGCCTTAAAGCTGGTACGCTGACTGCTCTCGGACAATCTGTTCACTAAGCAAAAGCATAGTTAGGGTAGGGCCTTACAATGGACATCTGTAGCAGCATCAGTTTTGGACAAAAACAGGAAAAAAGTCCAGGAGAAAGATGTGGAAAGGGCCTGTGGCAACAAGGATGGATGAATAATGAAGATCTGGTCCATTGCACTGCAGTTAGTGTGGCCAGATAAAACCCAAGAGGTCAGCATGGGGCAAGTGATCTCTGTGCAGCTTTCGCAGGAGGCATGGATGAAAAATGAGAGGGCAGGTGTTTCTTTGGTCTGGCTGAACCTCTCCCAGGGCATCATCAGACACCCTAAGCCACTTCAGTATTAAATTCTTAGCCACCAAAGGGCTTGTACCAGCCGTGCAGTCCACCAAATCCTTCCTGGGCTCAGTCTGTCGTTTGCCTTGCCCGTTACCGCTTTGCGGGAGGTGGGTTTCTGCCGGCTGGGTGAGCCGACCTAATGCAACCTGACAGCTGGCAGGAGGGGAGCAGGGGGTGGAGGGACCGCCTCGCAGCAGGAAGGAGCTGGTGGGTCGCTGCGAACCATCTTTGCAGAACCGCACCAATTACTCCCACTCATTAGCGGCGGGGATTTCTTCCAGCATTTTCCAGTTGATCCAGCAGAACCTCCTTTCTAAGCAGGGGGTGGGCAGGGTGGCTACCAGGCGGTGACTGCTTCGAGTCCCTGTGTGAAGGTGGCCCGTGATGCTTCGCAGAGCTGACACCGCACAGGTAGTTTTCAACCCCGGGGCCGTGCTGACCTGCCTGCTGCCCGCCCGTCCTCCCCGGCAGGAGCGGATTGTGCCCCTCTGCTTGGTGCAGGTGTCAGTCTTGATAATCACACGATAAACGGTACGGGTTGCCCGGCAATATGGGGTTTGGTTTTTTCAAAGGAGTCTTTTTTTTGAAGAAAAATCAATAGGAGGAGGTCCTGACTGCTGCACGGCAGCAGCCTGGCACTAGATGCTCACCTGTTTTACACCCAATGGGCTATTTTGAAGAATTCGGACTGGTTTTCAAATGCATTCTCCAAATAGCTCTTGCTAATTAGTTCAAGACATTGCAGGAATTTTTAATCCCGTTTTCTTGCCTTTTACAGTTATTTCAAAGGCCAGAAGAGCCTGAGCCTGTACGTAGCGGTGCGTGATTCTGCGATCACAGGGATGAAGCGCACCTGGCGTGCGCGGTGCCAACCCTGCCCGCCCT